CGGCCACTGAGGAGCTTTTTAACCACCTCAGCAACCTCCGCCCCAGAGATAGGGGAGTCCACACCCAAGTCCCCATACTCTGCTTCCACATTGGAAGGTGTGTCGGTGGGATTGAGGAGGTCTTCGAAGTATTCCCTCCACCAACCCAAAATGTCCCGAGTTGAGGTCAGCAGCACCCCATCCCCACCATAAACAGTGTTGATGTTGCCTGGAGCCGCCGGATGGTGGACCAGAATCGCCTCAAAGCCGTCCGGAAGTCGTTTTCCATGGCCTCGCCAAACTCCTCCCATACCAGAGTTTTTGCCTCAGCGACCGCCGAAGCTGCACCCCGCTTGGCCTGCCGGTACCTGTCAGCTGCCTCTGGAGTCCCACAAGCTAGAAAGGCCCGGTAGGACTCCTTCAGCTTGACGGCATCCCTCACCACTGGTGTCCACCAGCGGGTTCGGGGATTGGCGCCGCAACAGGCACCGACCACCTTACGGCCACAGCTCTGGTCAGCCGCCCCCACAATGGAGGCGCGGAACATGGCCCATTCGGACTCAATGTCCCCCGCCTCCCCCGGGACATGGGAGAAGTTCTGCCGGAGGTAGGAGTTGAAACTCCTCCTGACAGGGGATTCCACCAGACGTTCCCAGCAGACCCTCACTATACACTTGGGCCTGCCAGGCCTGGCCAGCTTCCTCCCCCACCAGCTGAGCCAACCCACCACCAGGTAGTGATCAGTTGACAGCTCCGCCCCTCTCTTCACCCGAGTGTCCAAGACATGCGGCCGCAAGTCCGATGACACGACTACAAAGTCGATCATCAAACTACGGCCTAGGGTGTCCTGGTGCCAAGTGCACATATGAACACCCTTGTGCCTGAACATGGTGTTCATTATGGACAATCCATGACAAGCACAGAAGTCCAACAACAAAACACCGCTCGGGTTCAGATCAGGGGGGCCGTTCCTCCCAATCACGCCACTCCAGGTCTCACTGTCATTGCCCACGTGGGCATTGAAGTCCCCCAGTAGAACAAGAGAGTCCCCAGGAGGAGTGCTCTCCAACACCCCTTCCAAGGACTCCAAAAAGGGTGGGTAATCTGGACTGCTGCTTGGTGCATAAGCACAAACAACAGTCAGGACCCGTCTCCTCACACGAAGGTGAAGGCTCCCCGTGAGCAACTCCAGAGTGGAAGAGGGTCTAACCCCCTTCGAGGAGAGCCCAAGCCGTGTGTCGAGGTGAGCCCGACTATGTCTAGATGGAACTTCAGAACCTCGCGCACAAGCTCAGGCTCCTTCCCCATCAGAGAGGTGACATTCCATGTCCCTAGAGCTAGCTTCTGCAGCCGAGGATCGGACCGCCAAGGTCCCTGCCTTCGGCCACTGCCCAGCTCACATCGCACCTGACCCCTATGGCCCCTCCTATGGGTGGTGAGCCCATTTTATTTATATATAATCTATCTCAGGTAATTACTTAAAATGAATTACATTTTAAATAGGTCACACTTTACTTAAGGCCATGTTTTTAGTAATTCTAAACACATTCATAACAATGCATTCATAAAGCATTATAAACATGGCTATATTTATCAAAAGGCATAACCTGACCGCTGAGCACTGTGACGCATTGTCGTGCGATCAATAGAAAGAAGGCACCCAAATTTAAATAGAGGGAAAACTTATAGCTCTGGGAACTCAGACACGGACAATATATCACACAAGCGTAGAATCTTTTTGAATGCAAAATATACATCGTCGCTACTGACCACGAGCTGAAATGACAGGAGAGAGTTTTGAAAACTACGCCTACTCTTTGCGCAGAAGCCCCATGCGAGCACAGCGCGTTGAGCGGACACCGCTGTTTTTTTGAATGGGGCACGCACAGCGCATGCCGTGTTTGTTCTGTAACCAGCTTTTGCCTATTAAGGTAGGGTTGGAACGAAAATATTCTGGCAGGGGGGGCGCCAGGGACAGGATTGAGAACCACTGGATTAGTGAATTACTAAAACCAGAAATCTGAAAGTGTTTGAAAAAGACCCCAGACGTACCTGGAAAGGCTGTCAAGCGCCCGGATGAAGTTATCACTGGGGTTCTCTTCCTTCTCCACATTTTCAAGCAGGGCGGCAGCTGCATGCACCACATCACCTGCCAAGAATTTGTTCTTGAAGCCGAAGTGGACACTAAATGTCTGAATGCGGATGTCCTTCATGCTGGAAAAGATGACAAGCGTGACTATAATCCAGAGCAGGTAGCTATAAGGCCATATGAATAGCAGGACTGCTGTTTGGATGTTAACAGACAGGCTGCATACCCATATTTATTAGAAGATTCTTCTATGACATCCCTCAGGTTCTCTTTGATGGAGATATCCATTGAATTGAATTTCTGTCTCACTTGCTTTAGAGGAAGACTGGAATGGAACAAAGTAAAATTGCTTAGATCCCTCTGGACATAGTGGTGAAAAATGAACCTGTAAAAATGGCTCGATGGACTTACCCCATATCAGCAAGGAACTCCTGAAGTTTTTTCTGCCCATGCATGGACCACAGCTTGAAACTGGAAGTAGTGTAACAGGAGTTGCAGATGCTCTCATAGAGAGACCAGTGCTGATAGAGGGACAGCCGCAGACTGTGAGGATAAGTTAAGAAAACCAGAAACCATGGTCTGGCCTGCACATGGAGCTTAGTGCTGTAGTATATAAATACAGAATAAGATTTCAAATGTGTGATCAAGGCAGGATACTCGTATTCGAAGCAGATCCGCATGCAATCGATAGATAAAGAATTCTCCTCATCTTCATTGTGGTGGCTGTGTCTAGAGACGTGACGCTGTAGTGTGGCAATATCTGTCACATACTTCATACTGCATGACAAAGAGCAACATTAGTTCACATGCGCATACATAAGATGCACTGTACATTTTGTTGTTTGGTTCATTGTGATCTGAGCTGCTAGTACCTCAATTGTTCTATGGCTCCAAATTAACAGTCTAAGGTTACAGAAAATAGTACTTCACAAAGCAAAGGAAATGCTTATGAATAAGTTTAGTCTTACTGGGTGATTTTATCATGGACCCACTGATCTGCCAATCCAATGATGGCCCACCTATCAAGAGAAATCAATAATGCAGCTGAAAAAAAATCTTGCATAAAAATGTCTCTGTCAAAAGACACAAAAAAAATCTACACTATAATAAAGATACCCGGAAGTTGGAGGACTTACCACAGCATGTCCTTTGTGTCCTTAGTCATGACCCATGACAGCTCAAATATAACCATTGCAGACTTAAAAACAAAAAGAAAGAAAGGATTGGCATTTTCATTAGAATAAAATTATTATTTATTTTTATTTTTTAAATTAGGTACTCACCGAAGTTCCATGGTACTCATACTGTTCGTAATCAAACAGAATTTCCCTCCTGTTAAAAGACAAAGTGTTTTGCAAGGCTTCACTGGCTACAAAACAGTGGTCTTAAATATGTACGTCCATGATGACTTGCCTGCGTGCTTCCCACTCCCTCTTTGCCCTTTGGCGCTCAATTCTCCTCTCCACAGCTCCCTGTCAACAGACAGGCAGGACAGCTTAGCCAGAATGTCATTGCAGGCACATGGAGGACTATATGTGGTATTAATATGCTCATTACATGGTGTGGCCTAATCGAGACCATTACATTAACCAGTAGGACACAAGCAAAACCAGCTGGTGGCTGACAGTGTTCCACCATGGGTTTTACAGACATGTTCTTCCCATTACTGTTGAAGAATCCATCAAAAAAGCTACTGTAGCAAGATTTTCTAAATGCTATGTGAAGTGGCAAAAGACTACATCTGGGGCACTATAAATAATATCAGCTAATCAGCCAGACTAAAAGGGCTAATCATAAGATGGCCATCAATTAGTGCCAAACAAATCTCACCTCATCGAAACGTGTCCGTTTCCCCGAGGGCTCAGAGTTGCTGTCACTCTCATTACCAGAGTCCTCAGCATCCTCCTCCTCATCACGGAAGATGTCATCATATGCAGGGATCCCAAGGTCATCGTCCTGCTTGATGAGCAGTTTGATCTGTGGAAGGGGACCAGGTGGTGGCAGGTGAGTGAAATTCAGCACATGTTCACATGAAAATACTAATTTGTACTCAGAGTGAGGGTCTTTTTCTACCGGTATTGAGGAGCAACTATATGACAGCAGTCGCCGTTTGGGTGTAGCGTCAATCATTCTGATGATCGAAACTTAAACCTGATAAGCTACAGTGGATAATAGGGGTGGGGGAAAAGTCAATTAAATTAAAATTCGCGATTCTTCCAGGTTGCTTTTTTGTATTACGACAAGAAATAAAATTGATTTTTAAAGTAAACAGACACAAGACTCTCCTTTTTAATCCGCAGCAGTTGGTGATGTTATCGACAAGGCAGCCATCACATCTGCTCTTCCTTGAGCTTACCTGAGTATCGTTATAGACGTTAACCACATCCACGGGTCTGTGCGTGTCGCAGATGAAGAAGATCGTATCTTCCTCTGGTTGTAGAGTCTCCAAGAGGTCCACGTTGGCCCCGCAATTTATCAATACAAAATATCGGAACTGCGAAGACAGTGTGGTGCTGTCTTACTCGTTCGCATCAAAAACTTTCAGCGAAGTTAAAGACCTAACGCATCATGGCTGTTACCTGCTCCTTGTGTTCAAGGAAGGCCGTTCCCAAGTCCTGCCAGCCGGTAACTGGCACCAGGGTATACTGAACGTGGTCGCAGTGAAACAGGGCCTAAGTACACATAACACGTTAAAGCACCGTGTAAATAATGTCACGGGTCTCACTGTATTTAATACGGGAGAAATAATGATACTCACTTGCAATATTTTGCAAGCACATAATGCGTCAACGTCGGAAGACACAAAGAGAGCGACTCTCTGGAAATAGAAATACACAACAAAATACTGTTAAGACACTCCATCCGCACCGGACCCCCGTTGACACAAAGCACTCAGTTAATTAAAATATTTAAAGAATTATCACAAACATGCAGATTTGACGCCTGGGTTGACCTCATTTACCTCCCAATTTTTTTTTATCACTAAAGATTATAGCTTCTGGATTTGCATATTTCCTGTCGTTCAATTTGCAAGCTTGCCAACACGATCACATCAAGCCTCACCTGGTTCACAACAACATCGTAAAACTCTTTGCGGATGTCCGTAAGAAACATTTTGCAATTGTTCCTCAGCGAAATATTTTTTGATATAATAAAAATTACTTTCTGTACCACCCGGGAAACAAAAAAACGCGAAATAATGCGGTATGCGAACTCGCTCTCTATCAGACCTTCCTTGTTAAAAACCTGGCGCCAATTTTACAAAATTTAAGATTGGCTTGTTAAGATCAAACTAACCAATAGCAATAACGTTTTAATAAAACATTCTGTCAGAAGACAACCTATAGAGAGAGCTAGAGAGCAGCCTAACCAATAAAAATGAGACTAAGACGACAAAACAAAATTGTAGGCCAGTAATGTGACAGAATGGGTAAGAGTGCCTAGTTCGTGATGTGATTGGCTCGGTGACGTCTGTTTTCTTTCGTCATTTCCTACAGTGACAGGGTACTTCCCCGCAGAGAAAGAAATAGAGCAGACTGGGTAGGCTGAATTTCTGCTCTCTAATAGTGTATAATATACGTAACATATACATCAACATTAACAGACATGGTAAGTATGTTTTTAACACTGTTTTGATGGACAGTCACTATACTATTTGATGAAATCAGTCCCTATACTAGCAGAGGAAAATAACTAAAATGGACAGTCACCATTAGTGAGCTATTCTGTGTGAGTAAAATCTACGACCATGGCGTATAAGACAGTCAAACGTTTTCGTTTGTGAAGTGATTCTTCGTGCATTTATTATGTCTTTCCCTGTAATTATCTTAAATTCTTTGGCCTGGACACCATCCACACAATTTGTCTGAATATGATGGTTAGTTGATAGTTGACAGTCTTTTCTGTTATTTTATCTACTATTCTTCGCAGTTTTCTTTTAATATGTTCGACCACCCGATCCCACGGGCTTTCCAAAACCGCTTCTCCACGCAATACCGCTGTTACTCTGTGTCCATGCTGGCTGGGCCCAACGACCGATCTGATGTCGAAAAAGGAGGCAAAAGTATCCCCAACCTTTCATATTGCATCCATTATGTTATTGTGCACAATTAGTTTTCTGGCGTGGATGTTTCGAACTCTTAAAAAGTTCAATCTATGTTTATGAAATCTACCATCATGTTAAATAAACATTACGATTAAAACAATACTTGTTTGTGTCTATAATATATATATATATATATATATATATATATATATATATATATATATATATATATATATATTATATTGTATAGAACTTTTTGTAATCTAGATGTTTTCTCTCACTTCAGTTATAATGCCTCCTTCTGCCCTGGACCAACTTAGTAAGTATGTAACTTTCAAAACTTAGCAAATTAGGAATATTTGTATGTTCGTACATGCAACTAGCTCTCCTCTTTTGCAGGTCGTCTTAACATCACATATCCAATGTTGTTCAAACTGACAAATAAGAATTCTGATCGCATGACACACTGTGGGGTGTTGGAGTTTGTTGCCGATGAAGGAATTTGCTATCTACCTCACTGGGTAAGATTTGACAAATGTACACATGTAAACAATGGTTGTTTTATCAAATATTGTAAGACCAGTCTTTAGATTCATTGTGTAACAAAAACCATCATGGTACAGTGAGAAATGATTTTTCATGAGAATGCTTCAGAGCTTGTTGTTTTAAGCAATGGTTGTGATTTAATGTATATGGTGAAAATTCGTATTCATTGTGGAAGACTTTTTTAAAGTTGTTTCATGTTGATTATATCTAGATGATGCAGAACCTGTTACTGGAGGAGGGGGGTCTGGTACAAGTAGAAAGCGTCAACCTCATGGTAGCAACTTATTCCAAATTCCAACCACAGAGTCCTGATTTCCTGGATATCACAAACCCGAAAGCAGTGTATCCTTTTTCATGACTGAGAATGGCCCCTGTAGCATTCCAATACATGACATTGTGTTTACAGTGCACATTGGTGCATTCCGGCTATAAAGATTTGTGTAATCCTGATTCCTTAACAGTGCCTTTGAAGACTAGAGAATGCTTTGAGGAACTTTGCTTGTCTGACCACCGGTGATGTAATTGCTATCAACTATAATGAAAAGGTACCAGTTCAATACATTATTTTTTTTAATTGTCGCTGGAAGTATAACACACCTTTTATGGATAACCAATCATTAAAATGTTTTGTATGTACAGTATATATTTGTATGTATGCATGAATGTACACTACCAGTCAAAAGTTTTTTGCACCCACTGAGATTTTCTACGTTTGCATGTTATTCATTTAACATTTACTAAAAATATACTCAATATTCTTTGCTAACAAATTTATTCACCATTTACATACATTTTATTAACAAGAAAATGTCATCTTCAATTCAAAGTAACCTCCTCTAGCAATTATAATTCAAGGCATTCCTTCTACAAGGGACATTAAATACTTATGTTTCATAGGATGAAACAGTTAACTAGTGCATTTAAAGTTAAAGTATAACCTAGAACAGGGTTCTTCAACTCTGGACCTCGATTCCAAATCCAGGCCGTGTTTTCAGTTCTCCCAGGTAGTTGTTTAATAATTACTGATTCTGATTGGTCAGAGGCTTCACACCTGACTGACAGGTAAAGGAAGGCTGGAAAACCAGCAGTGCTCGGACCTCGAGGACCATGAGTTGAATAACCCTGACCTAGAATTTGACCATGCCATCATCACACAACCAATTAATAGGATGTCAGGCATGCATTGTTGCAAACTCTTTCTATGTTATAAAGGAAACTTATTCTTGTTTTATTTTACTTATTTTTTTCATTTATATAGTTGTTCCCTCAACTTTCCAGTGTTTAACAAGAATAAAACATCTACAGTTTATGAAATAAATAGAAAAGTTGTGCAAAAACTTTTGACTGGTAGTGTATATATTGTTTGTGTGCATGAATGTGTCTGTGTATATATAAAATATACACTCATACATGCATACATACATGTATATATGCTCACATGCATGTCAACAAAAGAGATTCACTAAATTAAGATTCGTCTTGTCTGAACTTTTCCCCAGATCTATGAACTTCGTGTGATGGAGACCAAGCCAGACAAGGCGGTGTCCATCATTGAATGTGATATGAATGTAAGACCGGCCTTTAAAGTTCCACTACATGTATCGCCATGTACTAAAGAAAATCCGCTTTATATCCAGTGTGTAATGTGCATAGAAACTAGGCAAATTTTGGGCCTTTCAGCACAATTTGTCACCATGTTAATCCAGAGTGCTTTAAGTATGATATGTATATTTTCTCTAAACCTCATGCATTTCTGATAAGGTGGATTTTGATGCACCATTGGGTTACAAAGAACCAGAGAGACGTCTCCAGCACACAGAGGAGCCTGCAGTAAATCATCTATTCTCCCTAAATTTCACCTGTGTTTGTTCTGTCATATTTTAATGAATTCAAACAACAGATAGGAGTCTTGCTTTTTGCAAATGTGTCTCTTCTTGGACTTTAGGAAGAGGTTGGAGACCCCAGCAGCTATGCAGACATGGATATGGGATTCAGAGTATGTTATTTTTTGGGGGTATTTTTTTTTTTTTTTTTTTTTTTTTTTTTTTTTT